ATGATGATGATGATGATGATGATGATGATGATGATGATGATGATGATGATGATGATGATGATGATGATGATGATGATGTGATGATGATGATGACAATTTTATTCTTAACTAAAGCTCATTTATACAATATGTAAGACACACTCTTCTTACTTCTACCATGAACACTCTTCTTACTTCTACCATGTCAGAGGCACAATTATCAGCAGAGAGACAAAAGACGTCCAAAAACCATTACAAAAAAAAATCACAAGAAGTAGTAAGAAATGTAATGATAAGGTGGGCCTGATAAAAAAAGTACAAGAATAAAGTTTAAGAAAAATCATAAAATGGTCCAAATACCTAAAAAAGAGCACAGAGAAATTAAGCACAATATCACAACAGAGAAATTAAGCACAAAAAGAATCAGAGAAGACACAAATAAAGGAGAGAAGGTATGTGATTTGGGTTGTCTGGATAATAAAGATGAAACAACAGAATTTAAAGTAGTCTCACAGAGAGCATATAAGTCTGGTAAGTAAGACCATGATTATGCAAATAAGTATGGTAAGTAAGACCGCAATTATGCATAAAAGATTGAAACAATTAGGTGGTGGTAATAGTTTTTTATGCTTAATATTTTTAGCTACTTTAGTTATGTACTTAAGTCACAGTAGTTACTTTTAGTTTAGTACTTTAATTAACTACTGCAACAGTAAATTGGTGCAACGAATGCAACAAAATTTAGATAAAAATAATTACTTTAAGTCTCTAAAAACTATTTTAATTTTTTAGTTTAAAAAAAAAACATTTTTAGACTTTAGCTTTTTAATTACCCTGTATTAAGTTTTGCCTTTTTAATTATCCTGTATTATGTTTACTGTCTTTTACAACAAAAAAAAGAAACAAACTTATAATTATATTTCGTGCTTATTGTGAAAATTTAATTTAAACAAGATGTAAGCAAAAAAAGCGTATTTTCTGAAGTTATATTTTAGATGAAGTTAAATCAAACAGGTTTTACATGAAGATTAAAAATAAGTTCTGGTCACTTACATGATTCATAATAAGAAATTTAGCTTGTAATGACTCATATTTTTCCAGCGTTATCTGTTATTATTTAAGGAAAACGCAAAAAGAATTTATCTTAAAAGACTTGAAAACTTGTACCAAGTATACACAGTATAAAAATGTGGTATTTTTTAGGTGTGCATGTAAACCAATACTTAAAGTAATGATTTCAAGCGTTCTTAAGTTAATTCTTTTGAAGATCTTTAAAATTTTACTTAATATTTTCTTTTAAACCATCTACTTTTGTAACTGAATAGTAAAGGTATTGCAGTTAGATATTAGATAAAGTTTGATAACTCTATTAGTAAAATATATATAAAGAAAACTTTCACAACTACTGTGAACTAATAGTAAGAATATTGTTCAAATTTATATCAGCAAAAAAAAAAAAACACAAACATTTTAATTTACTTATCTCACTTGAAACTTACATCAACTCGGTTTTTACTTTCTACAACAAATGGCTGAGCTCTTTCACTGCCTAACCATTTGATAAATTCTTTACGCCAGTTCTGAAAAGAAATTAGATTTAGTAATTGAAATACTTTATAAATATCAGCTATAAAAAGCTATATCACCTTGACTAAACTACCAGGAGTTACTATTATGACTTTTTTGGCAACAGGAATGTTTCTAATGGGACCTTGCTTTAGTAATGTCCTATATAAAATTAAACCACCATATATTTTTAATAAAAAACGAGTTTTACTTTTAAAATTTTTATATAATTATATTACAATAAAGACCAAGGTTACTTAAAAAAAAAGTTTATAATATTAGAACTGTTAAATTTGCTTATTATATATATATATATATATATATATATATATATATATATATATATATATATATATATATATATACATATATATATATATATATATATATATATATATATATATATATATATATATATATATATATATATATATATATATATATTAACATTTACTAAACTAAAAGTCATACCAAACTAATGCAATGCATTGCAGTGTTTTTCCTAAACCCATTTCATCTCTAAAAAAAATATTTTATGTAACAATTCTTTGTTACATAACTCGGTCTTTATTTTCAATAAAGTTCATAAGTATAACACATACATGACATGAACTAAAAATCACTACATAATGAATGCTTACGCAAGAATAGCACCATTTCCTGCAACATTTCTACCCATAACACATTGATAAAGAAAAATTACGCCTTCACGCTGATGTGGTCTTAAGTTTGATGATATAAAAGGATCAACAACAACAGCCACATTTTCAGTTGAATTAACTGATTTCTTAAATAAATATATGTTTAATAATTAGCTTCTGTAGTTATTATAGAATCAAACATAAAAATTCTAACACAAAAAAAAAAAAAATTTCTATTGTTGATATGTTGATGTTGCTTAAACTTAGTAATAGGTATTAGTTTGTACAAACAATGTTAAGCAGAATTCAATACAAATGGACCTTATAAAGCAAAGTAACCTAAAATTTAAAATAACTGATCCTTGTCCAAGTTTAATTTTGAGTAACATTGTTAGGAAGAAATTAAAAATTTATTATTTTAAATAAGAAATTTTAATTTTAAATATCACAATTTAAAGATATCTTTCTTAAAACAAAGAAATTTAAAACTAACTTAAAAAAGGTTTTAATTCATAAAATAAGCTAATAATTTTGTTTGTTCTTGTTTTTCGAGCTTATTTATAATAATTTTTGTTTGTTCTTGTTTTTCGAAATTTTTTTTTTTTTTTTATTTTACTTCACCTCCTCAAGGCCGAGAAGGCCACTACAGACGAGGAGGCTACTACCATTTTTGTGGCTATAACCCTCTCTCAACTCTATAACTCCGAAACACGAACCTTGACGAATAAGGCCGCTGCGCGGAGAAACGAGTTGAGCGCGGTACTACCAGGGACGTGGTGGGGATCGAACTCGGAACCACTCGTTTATGAAGCGAGCGCTCTACCACTACACCACTACTGCATTTATAATAAATCTTTAAATAAAAAGATGACAAATTCTCAAAAAAAGTTTTTAAATAAAGTTTTAGATTTCAAATTTTCATTCAACTGTTATCTAAAGATATTGACTTTGAACTACTTTGAAGACTAACACATTAAACAATACAGAATACTGACACGTTACACTCAATATTGACGGAATACTGATGCTATCATACTATATTGATATTAACTATATTCATATGCACCACAAAACAATTTTTACAAATATTCACAAAACAAATTTTACATGCAGTTAAAAAATGAAACTTTAAAAAAAGAAAAGAACAAAAGAAGAAACCATATCATTTGGCATAATTAAAGCACCATCTTTTGTGGGATCATGGCGAGGCAAATAACTTGTTTCAAAAACCTAAATTGTAAAAACTAATTTTAAAATGATAAAAAATTAGAAATTGAATTATGTTCATGTTTATGTATTCAATATAGTTATGTATTAATTAGTGTATGATACAATTATTAGTGTATGATTTTGTTTTTTAATCTGTTTTAAAAATTTGTAAAAACATATCACCTGTAACTTTGATGAGCAACTTTTATGTGCCACAAATGGTTTAACAACTACAAACAAAAAATGATCCAAATAAACTTGTTAAAAAAGCAACTAAATTTAAACTTATAAGCAAAAAAAATAAAAAATTATCATAACCCAGATTTATCATAAATGGCTAGGTATTTATAGGTTTTTATGATAAAGATTGGATGTATTAACAAAATGCAATTGTTTTCTTATAAAAAAAAAAAGATTTAGTTAACTAAAATGAACTTTTTTTATCCTTTCTTGGCCCAATAACTCAAAAATACAGACCAGAAAAAATTGCAAATTGCGAAAAGAGAGAGAGGAGTAGAAAAATTAAATAAGAATTTAAAATATAAAAATTATTAGAATTAAAAATATAAATTTTCTACTAAACTTATTTTTTTAGCTAATATTAAAATTGTTTAAACCCAAAAACTTAAGTTAACATTTAAATTATGATGAGGAAAACTAAAAAATTTCATCATATAAAATTTATACCAACCAACACTGTTTATGGTTGCTTTCTTATCATCGCAGCAAGCAGCTTTGGAAGTTGCCCCCAAGTAACATTTTCCAGTTAAATATTGCTCTTTAGTTAGTACATTTTGTATCTTTAAATGAAATAAAAAAAATTAATAAAATAAAATTATAATAAATGAATTAAAATTAATTAGTCAACAAGTATAAACTACAATGCAAACAGACACAAAATGTTTTATAAACTTAAGAATTCTTTTGTTATATACCATCTTTTGTTATATATCGTTACCTCTATTTCTTTACCTCCAACAACAATAGTGCTTCCATCTACCAAGCCTGCTATTTCACTAGATTTACAGCCATTACTTTTAGATATTCTAACAATGAAATATTTTTGAAATTATTTTCAATTATGCATTCAAAAGTTCAATATTGAAAAACATTTAGGAGAAAAATTAATTTAAAAAAATTTTTTATGACGAAGAAATTATTTGAAAAAAAAAAAAAAAAATTCAATTCTATAAAAATTTTAATAAATATAAAATTACTGGTTTCCCTCAATATCTTTTAAAACAACTGAACTTCCATTAACTATAAGAACTCCTTAAAAAAAAAAAAAAAAACTTTAATAAATTTAAAAAAGAATGAAAACCCAAAGCCACTTAAGCAACAAACACCAGTCAAACTAAATGACTCGTTGTTTGCCCCAGCATGAACTTATTGTTGTTTGCCCCTGCAATCAAACCTTTAGACAAGTTTATAAACAAAGCCTGAGGACCAATATTTTTTATTCATTAAAAGTACTATGAAACAATAAATATAAGTTTATACTATAAATTATTTATACTATACAAAATTAATATTTATTTTGATAATTTATCTTTTAATTGTTTGCAAAATTATTTAGTTATTTAATAAATTATTTTAATCTATTGTGCAATTTAGAGTAGCGCAAAAAGAGATAAGAATTTTAATGAATTTGTCTTACTTTTAATAATATATGTTTAAAGAAAGTAACGTCATTGAAATGAATGATACACTTGATGAAGTTATGCATTTACAAAATGATGTAAATGCTTTAAAGCGCGTTGAAAATAATCGTTGACGAAATGAAAGAAACAGACTTAGGTGATATAAAACTAATCATCTACAAATTATAAGAGCTGTTATACGAGCTGGACATAATTTCAACCCAAACGTTGAAAGAGTCGTTAGGTGGGTTGAAACAATTCGTCGCCGAATAGCTAGAGATAGAGCTAAGCAAGATGAAATTAATTAACTACAAAATGTTAGAAATGCTGCTCGACAAGCAGAAAATAATTTGAACCCAAATGTGGACAATGCTATTGGGCGAATTGAAAATAATTGTCTCAGAAATGCTAGATATAGAGCTAGGCAAGATGAAATTAATTAACTACAAAATGTCAGAAATGATGCTAGACAAATAGAATACATTTTATAGCAAGAAGTAATACTATTCCAGATTATTATTATTTAGGAGAAATGAATTATATTTGTCAGCATTGTGGTGCTAAGAAATTTCCTGATGATACACATTTTTTATGTTGCCATTATGAAAAGGTAGTTTTGTCGCCACCTTCACCATTTCTGCAAGATTTACAAGATTTATTTAAAGGAAATTATGCCGATTGAAATGCCAATATGAATTTTTTAAAAATATATTCTAATTTATAATGCGTGTCTTTTTTTTTGCTTCATTTACAGCTAATGTAGCTCAACCCATGAATAATTGGCCGCCATGTTTTAGAATATGCAGTCAAGTATTTCATTGAATAGGTAATTTTAGATCATCATATAGGTAATCTTATGTTCCGCCGACATATTCTCAACTACATCCATAATCCACTTGCAACAGTAAGTTTTATAATGTGCAACCTGATAATGATCTTAGACTAAATGATTTAAATAAAAAAAGTAAAAATGTCTTTACCTGAAGGGCAAGATAGACATCGCTATAATCTCCCTTCACATAATGAAGTTGTATTTGTTGGCGAAGATGGTGCTCCACCTGTTTCCAGGAAAGTTGTTATTTACCCAAGAGGTCATCCTCTTAAAACTATATTAAGTATGTCTATCAAACTAGATTCTATGGTTTATTCACTATTTTTTTCAAGGGGTGATGCTGGTTGGTATTATTAATTGGTTAACAACCCTGAACGTGTTACATTGATTAGAAATCATGTTACATTATCTCAGTATTTCAATTATAGAGTTTTAATCAATGTAGTCAATTTTGACAATTAACTTAAACACACTAAGAAACAAGCAGTGTGATGCCTTACACAAACATGTAAACAACTTTGAAATAATCATAATATTAGACCAGGACGTGTTGTAGTTTTGCCATTAACTTATGTAGGAAGTCTTAGAGTTTTATTTAATTTAATTTGTTCAAGTATACTAGTTTTAATAAAAAAAATGTTTGTTCCAGGTTTTTTAATTTTCTGTTTTCAGATTTTTAAGCAACAAGCAACTTAGCGAAGCAAGTTTTGTTATATATTTTAGTGCAATTGGAAAAGGCTGAAAGCTATTTTTTAGAGCAATTGGAAATTTTAACATGGAAAACTGTCGGTGATTTGTTAATAAATAAGTTTATATACATATATGTGCCTATATCTTAGTATATTTTATACTTTTCTATATATGAATACTTTCTCTTAGAAAATATTATTTTACACATACTCTTGAATTCTTTTTCTTTTTCTTTTTTATTACTTTAGAGTAAAATATACTGACTGATATTGCTTCATTTTTACACTTTTAGATTGTAATCTAGATTCTTTGTTAAATTACAATTTATTGATGTAAATAAATATTGTTTTATATTTTTGATAAACAACTTATATATATAAACTTAAAAAAAGGTATGGATTTAAATTAAAAAGTCAATTAAGTCAAAAAAGGTATGGATTTCAATTAAAAAGTCTTTGATTAGAAAAGATCACAATTTTTAAGACTCTTTTACATTTTTTTATTATTCAGTTGTAACAATAGTAATTTTACTGGTAATATGTTTAAAGAATACAGTTAAATTGAAATGGCTAATAATAGGCAAAGAATTTATTTGTGTAAATGCTAATAGGCGAAAATAATTGTTGTCCAAATGAAAGAGATAGATTTAGGCAAGATAAAATTACTCGTTATTGAAATGTAAGAAATACTTCTCCGCGAGCAGAAAACTTAGTTTTCTGCTTAAAAACATAGAAAAATCAGTGTCAAGCTGTGTTAATGTCTGTTTATTTGATTTTACTTTAAACACTTCGGAACAACATAAGACATGAATTTTAATTCTTATAGTACAGTTAATAATAGTTTAAAATGTAAATGATTTTAAATTTTTTTATAAATTCAAACATAACTATGTTCTTTTTTTTAGTTGCCATTGTCATCACTTGATTAATTTGTTTACTGTTGAAACATGGTTTTAATTTTTTAAATTTAATGATATGAAATTTACTCTATTAATCATTAGTCGACAGTTAAAGAGAAGCTGGAACCTTACATAATAAAGGTAAAAATAACTTTGTTTACTGGTAACTTAATAAAACCAGTTAATATTATTTATTGGGTGTCTTTTTTAAATTTTTAACAAGTTATAGCTTTTTAGCAGTAGTCAAAACAACATTTAAAAATACATTTATAACATTAGAAATAAGCCAGAAAATCTTGCATAAGCCATAATTCCAAACAAATGGCATAAATAAACACAAGCGTAATTTATAATTTCCAACTATATGCTGATGTATTTTTGCAACCGTTTTGGTTACTAATTCTTCTTTCATATTTTCGATCGGTTGTTACCTTCGTAACATTTTCAAGAAATTCCATTTCTCTACCTTATTTTGGACTTCTTTGGTTAGCTTATTACTTTTTCTATTTACTTAATATATATAAATATTTCAAAATTTATTTTATAACACAAAAACTTTTTATTGTAATAAACTAAAATAAAATTCTTACCATCGCCTTCCCAATTCTTGTGCTAGAAATATATATAAAACATATAAAAAATTGTACTATGAAATTTGCTTTACTGATGGACATGTGGTATATATATATATTAGGGCTATATATATATATATATATATATATATATATATATATATATATATATATATATATATATATATATATATATATATATATATATATATATATATATATATATATATATATATATATATATATAAAAGAAATATGTTTGCATAATTAAATGAAGAAATATTTTTTATAACTAAATAAGCAAATATTTTTGTATAATTAAACTTATAAAATATGAAATTCATTTATTGAGGAGGAACATTTATTGAACATGTTTTAAAATAATTGAAAAATACAAAAGCTGAGATTAGATTATATGAAAAATACCAAGATGAGTTTTATGACAAAAAGTCAAAATACAAAATCAAAGTTAAGTTTTATGACAAAAAGTCAAAATACAAAAACCCAAGTCAAGTTTTATGACAAAAAGTCAAACAACAAAATGCCAAGTTTAGTTGATGTTAAGCCTGCACAACATAATCTTATAACAAAAATCACTATTGCTGAAAAAAAGATTGCTGACAAATAACGTGCAAGAAAATGTAAGCTCAACATTTGCATCACTTGCTTGTTCTTCCAGTAGTTAATTTAAATTAAAGTGGCCTGTTCCTTGCTTTGTCTTTATTAAGAAAATCTTACACATTTTAATTTCTTATTATTTAACTTTTCTAAATTATTATACAAGAAATTGCAGCAGCTTCTTTTCCAGGTGCAAATCCCCTAATACACATGCCTCCCCCTCAAACTTAAATGTGAGAACAATAGTTATTGACTTTTATGCTATAATTATTGGGCATATCTAAAAAATGACACACAGAACTGTGTTTTAAAAATTATTGTACATTTTTCAAACTATTGTGACATTAACACACAAAATAAAATTATAAAAATATATATATTTAAACATTCAAGTAGCCTAAAATATGATAAAAATATTTTGGTTATAAATTTTTTTAAGAAAATCATAATAGCGTGTATATTGTTTTAAGTCCCAACCTCTAATTGTAAAAATAAAAAATAATAAAAAATCACACGCAGAAATGGAAATGCCCTGATTCAAACTAAATTTACATACATTTACAGATTTCAAATTCGTCAAATAAAATTTTAGAGTTTATAAATTCCTTATTTTAGGTGGTTTTAAAAATTTTCTTGGTCATAGCTTTTGAACACTAAAAAATTGTTACATAAAATTTTAAAGCGAAAAAATTTGACATAATCATATTATTATATAATAATACTATATAATAAATATATTATTATACCCACATTGAGAATTAAAAGGGGGGCATAAGTTTAGTGCTTTTTGGTTTTTCTCAGGCTCCAATCACTACAATTCTCATTTTCATTTGATCTTTTTACTCTCATTTGATATAAGCATAAGTCTGAAATTTGCTCTGTGGCTTGAACATCAAAAAAAGCTGCCACAATTCTGTTTACTTGGTATATCTTTAAAAATATTTTGTTATTTTTTATAGTCATCTGTGAAACAGAAACATGAACTAAAAAAAAATTCTCAGGTAGAATACATAGCAGCCATATTGAGCTACTGTCAAACCAGGTAGTAAAGGGCAAAGTTAAGGAGTATGGTAAAGGTGACAACAATGATACAAACTTTAAATTTCTTATAAACACTGTATAAAATCTGAAGTACATCATACGGACTTGTGACATCTATAAGGCATGATATAAATGTCTTACGGACGTCTGTGCCTGTGGGTTGAAGTAAAGTAATTTATTGATAATTCAAAGTTAATGCTCTTAATAAGCTCACATTCGATTAAATTAATGTTGACCCAAAAAGACATTGTTTTGTCATCGTTGATACAGATAACTTTAAAAAAACTTAACTTCATTCATCATAAGCAGATGTAAAAGGAAGAGTCAAATCAATTTTGAAGATTATAGACAAGTTAGAAAAACATGATGTCATATATATCTCTATTGAGAATAGATGTATACATACATACACATTTTTGTGTGTATGCATGTATAGGGCCAACACAAGTAAGTTTCAAATGGGGAAGAGGTGCTATTTGGGTTTTTGCCAAAAACATTTTTACACACATACAAAAAAAATCTAGCAAAGAGTGGGACATTGGCAAACAGCTAAGTGGGAATGCAAATTAAAGGCATCAGTTATTCAGGGCTCGATTTAACAGTCGGATATCAGACATTATCTGGCTAAAACCACAGATTGTCCGCTCAATTTACAAAGGAATCGGACATTTTGATCAACGGGAATTAAATTCTACAAAAAAGTTTGGACAGGAATGGCAAGCAATCGAACGCTATTGCTGACCACACAAATGATTTTTTTAGTTTACAAATCGGCCATGAATGTTTAGATACTTTGATGATTTTAACATTTCAGAAATGCGCTGAAAAAAGAAATGTTAAACTAAACTTAAACTAGGAAAAACATTGAAAAAACAAAAGAATAAGCAAAACAATTCCAACGAAAAAGAAAATAAATTAGTTTCAAAATAAGACTAAAAAATTACTTTTTGTTACGTTTTTAATTGCATTTGAAAAAAATTACTTTAAAACTGATCTTTTAAAACATTTAATAACAGTTACGCAAAATTAAAAACATTATATTTTTTCTTTTCAATAATAAATTATTATTTATTATTGAAATATAATGTTTTTAATTTGTATAATCATTTTTTTCAAAAAATTGCAAAAAAAAAAATTGTTAAAAAAGAAAATAACATTGTCTTTTTAATATCATAATTTTTAATCATTTCATGATTTAATTAGTTAAGTTTTATCTTTTAAAAGATTTTTAGAACGACATGGAAAAATAGTTTCAAGCGTTTAAATTTATTATAAAAAATACATAACAAAAAAATGTAAATAAAACATTTAATTTAAATGCGTTTATTTTTAAATCAATACAATTAATTTTTTATTTGATTTTGATTAAAAGCCTTGTAAAAGAGAAATTTTAAAAAAGAAAAAGAAATTAAAAGTTATTCGTAATTTAACAATTTTTTTAATTGCATATAAGTTGTTAAAATATCAAAGCAGCTATCATCAAATAGTAAAGAAAAAATAAATAAATAAACGTTGTCAGTTACAGCGTGAAATTTCAACTCGGTTTCATAAAAGTGTAAAAATTATATTTTAAAAATTTGATCAGACACTGTCCGACCCAAACAAGTTTAAATCAGACATTTTGTCCGGAACTTTATAAAATATTGAATTGAGCCCTGGTTATTCAAAATTGATTATATTTATTGGTTATCATTTACTCTAACTATTCAGTTGCAAACCCTCAAAAGCAATATTTATAAGTCTTATTATAAAATAAAAATTTAGAGCAGAATTAAAACCAATGTTGTTCATAATTACCTTACGTACATGGAGTAATTCCAAACACACCATGAAGAAATTACAAAAGCCATTGTGTAATAACAAATAAAACACTAGTTTTAATAATTAAGTGCAAAAACACAGATAAAATTTTGGGATATGCTCACTTACACTAGGCCTTACAATTGTAACACATTATCCAGTCTTCCATGAGAAGATCATGAACTTTTCATCGCAACTCAATACAACAACAGTCTTTTAAAATTAATCCTTTATCTTTATTATATATTATTAAAACTTTAAAAAACTACAAACAAATATCGCAAACAAAACCTCATGACATGCATTCACCAATAGTGCACCTATTGTTCAACCAGGACTTGCATTAATGACACATTATCCAATGTTCTATGGACGGATCCTGATATTTTTACGCATATTAAACAACAAATTTTTGTATCACCTCAGGCACTCTTTTTGGAAGGAAGGGGGAACAGCGCGGGGTTGGCTGTTCCCCCTTCCTTGCCCTATGCTGAATTCATCACTGGTTATGCTACAAATATTTCCTGCATATTTTTTAAATACTTACGTATAAACATAAATATAGCAAAAATAAAATACCTTTTTTGATGAAACTTTACACCTAAAAAATATAATTTAAATATACAAGTATATATATATATATATATATATATATATATATATATATATATATATATATATATATATATATATATATATATATATATATATATATATATATATATATATATATATCAGTATAATCAAGTATATATGACAGATCATAAATTTTTATTTTTTTATTTATATTTTAATTTGTTTTGTTTTTTAATTTATAATGGTTTCTGAAATTATCATAAAAATAACCAGAGAATTAATTCAAAATAATATAAAATAACACAACCAAAAAATCCTTTAAAAACCAGAACTTATATTAATTATTCTATTAAAAATCACCAAAATTAGAAAAATTTCAAAAAATGGATCTAATCACATTTCTTTCTGAACGGCTCATATAGTAGTAAACAAATGTGGTAGTTGTAGGGAGTAAAGCACTTGTGTTATAAGTAAAAAAAGTGTTATGTGTTTTATTCTTGAAAATTTAAAGAAAAAAAAAATAAAACCACAAAAATTATTGAGTAAAATAGTTGAATTTAATCATTTAAAAAAAATATATCAAAATAAAACTTTTTAGAAAAAGATTTTTTTATTTATATATATTTTTTATTTTTCATTTTTTTGTTGTTGCTTTTTAATGTTTTCACTATTTCAAATTACCTCAATTCTTTCAATCTTTTTTATTATCATTATTTTATGTATAAATTTGACTGAAAACAAAACTAAAAAATGATGATGATGATGATGATGATGATGATGATGATGATGATGATGATGATGATGATGATGATGATGATGATGATGATGATGATGATATACGCTAAAATCCTTGTGTACTGCCTATAACAACATACTAAAATAGCTATCTGCTTCAGTATACACATTAACTGAGGGTTTGAATCAGAAGGAAGTCCAGCATTTTTTGGTTTTTAAGTTAGCTAATATCACTTCCTGACATGGAGCAAACTACAAACATTTATATGTTTACACCCATATCAAATAAGGATGCTTTGCAAAAAATTGCAATTGGAGTCTGGAAACAAAAAAATACCTAAAATTAATGCTCCTGCCCCAATATGAAAGCAACAAGTTGATAAAATACTTTTCTTACTATTCTTAACTAAATTTATATCATTTAATAAATTTATATTATTTGATAAATTTTGAATTTCATGCAATAATCTATCAACATTTAAAAATTATTTAAAGCCTCAGTTAGGATATAAAAGCACAATAATTACCCACTACCCCTTTTTTAATTTTTTTTTTTTTTTTGTTACAAAATATATATATATATATATATATATATATATATATATATATATATATATATATATATATATATATATATATATATATATATAGTATACAGAGAAATACTTACCACATAACAGAAAAATAGCATTCAGTTTTGTTGTTTATTTCTAATGCATTAAGTGGTTTATAAGTCTTTATTTTGTTCTTGTTAATATCAATTGTGTTACTAACACTGCATGTTTTTGAAAATGGTGGTGAAAACACTTTATTGGAATAACTTAATGTATTTGGTTTTTGCATAATGCTTGATAATTCATTATTATTTTCTTTTTGAACAAAATTCTTTACATTATATTGATTTAACAAGTCATTGTTACTTTTGCAGTTAGAATCTGAATTGTCAATGACATTACACTTTTTAATTGAAGCTGTATGTAATTTTGAATCATCATTATCTTTTTTTATAAAATTTGCAGGACCAACATAATTTTCTTCAATACTTTGCGTACACGTGTTGTCACATTCATTGCTGCAATTTAAAGATAAACCAAACTTTTTAGCAGTTGAATTAGGAGATAACTTACTTTTTTTTGAAAACGATGACAATGAAGGAGCAGCAGACCTTCTCATCTTATTTAATAAAAAATTTGTTTATATAGGCCACTATTTATTTATATGTTTATTATTACACATTAATTTTATGAAAACTATTATGATTTAATTGTCTATAGAAATAAACCCTCTGCTAATTTTATTTTATTTATGATCCTTATTAATTTTACTTTTAATATTATTTTATCTTTATTTATTGAAATTATTAAAATTTCAATATCTATAGAAAAAAACTGCTTATTTTTATGAACTTTGCTTTCTAAACACAAGAGCAATTTTTAAGCTGTTTTATTGTTTCTCTTCACGGACCATCACTTTAACCCCTTAATAGTGGAGCAATTTTTTGCGGCGGTTCTATACTCTATTATTATTATTGCTATTATTATTAGTTTGTGTGCTGTTGTGTTCACGGACCTTTAACCCCTTAATAGTGGAGCAATTTTTTGTGGAGCAATTTTTTGCCTTCGGCGATATCATTAGCAACACAGATGAAATACACATAAAGAAAAATTCGCATGTCTAGAGAAGCGTTTATTAAACGGTGAAAAGAGGAAAAAGATAAAAGGAAAAACAAAAAAAATATTTTAAAGAATAAAAAAGATAAGTTAAAAATAAAGTAAAACAACAAAAATATTAAAAAGTATAAACGAACTAAAAGATTAAAGAAAAAATAAAACAAAACAAAAAAATAAAAAAGTAAAACGAACAAATAGATTTAATAAAATAAAACAAAAACAATCAATTACAGGCGAAGTAACAAGTTAAAAGAAGAGAAGTTCGAAGAATATTCGAAAAAATAATAAAAAGAACTAATTAAAACAAAAATTATTCGCTAAAAATTTTCTACACTTTTCTGTTTCCGCCAAGAATAACAAATATAATTTATTTTATTTTTGAAGAAGTTTTTGTGTTTGTCTTTTTGTTATGTAGTTTTTGTTTTGCCTTGCCTTTTTGTTTGCGTTATGTTTGTTATTATTTGTGCTGTTGTTGGTAATTATTTTTTATTGTTGTTCGCTGTTGTTATTAATTGAGTGTTTTCATTTTTTTTATTTTGTCTTTTTATTTAATTTATTATAGCTCAATCATTTTTTTTTTTAATAATTTAATTTACGCTTGCTTTTATTTATTAATATTGCTGTTGAATTTTTTGTTTGTTTATTTTATTTAGGTGTCACTCCAATGACTAGTTTCTGACTATATGAGTGACACCTAACCTAATTTTGTAAAATTATAAAAATCTTGTAATTTTCATTTTTGGGTTGAATAAATAGATAAGATTGGAACTCTTACTCCGTTTTTTTATTTTGAAAGAAAAAGTCAGAATTTAATGAGAAAATCTTCCTACTTTCAAATAGAAAATCGTCTTTTTACTGTCTTAGACGCGCAGGTTAACCTTATTAATTTCGTAAACCCCTCTTTTTTTTTTTTGTTTTTTTTGTTTTCATTACAATATATTTTGGTATAAATACCGATGTACATTAAATATCAGAACACGGAGACTCAAAGAGAATCGTAAGATCCTGTCACTGAGAACCGTTTAACAATGCAGTAAAAGTATAACCAGTTAAATAATTACAATAAATGACGTTTAGAAATAAAATTTAAATCTAATCAGATATTTCAAAACATAAAATAACGTTTAACAACATGAAGAATATATATAAAACTAAATATTTCAAAATAAAACAATATATTCAGGAATCACACACTTTTTTAAAAGGTATAAAATCAAAAGAACTCAAAGATATTATCGATTGACAAGATAACTTTTTTCAGCTTAATTTTAAAAGTAAGAAAACTCCAACTTTGAGAAAAATCAAAATTTTTCAAAACTATTTTGTTCCACTGAAGAACTCCGTGATATGTTAAAAGAGATCTTCCAAAACTTGTATGAGAATAATGTTGATCAATAAGGATGTCATTTCTTAAGTCATATTTGTTTTTTTGCTTGATTGCATATAAACTTTTAAACTGATGTAGGGTTTAGGTTAATCTTACATTTGTACATAAGTTAAAGAACATTAAAAACATTTTGCTGGTATATATTAAGAACACTCATTTCCAATAAAAGAGGTCTGGCATGAATATAACGATCTTTAAAGTTTATTAGCTATATGCTATATGCTTCTGTTGCCGATATAGATGATCTAATTGAATTTTTTTAGCACTACCCCATGCGATATTTGCATAGTTTATATGGCATTGAATTAGCGAGTGATAAATTTGAATTTATGAATGTCTATTTACAAAATTTCTTGCTTTATATATTACTCAAATATTTTTTGAAACTTTATTCCGCAAAGTTTTGATATGGTTTTTCCATGTTAGATTTTCATCAATGAAAACACCAAGGAAATGTATAACTTTTGATTTTTTTATTTGAACATTGTCAATATATATTTGAGGCATATCATTTGATAAAATTTTTTTTGGGGATTTTGAATGAAATAAAGTCCATTTAGTTTTTTCCAAGTTAATTGATAGTTTATTTGGGAAAAGATTACTACATCTGTCCAACAACATCCGTGAAATAACATCCGCACATTTTTGTGTAAGATCATCCGCTTTTTTTCTTTACTGAATTAACATCTGTGCAACAACATCCGAAATTTCATTGATGTCTAATAACATCTTTAGAAAGATGTAACTACATCCGAGAGTTTCTCTCGATGTGTAACTACATCCGCCTAAAAAAATTCATTATTAAAAATAAAATAAAATAAATCCGGACGTAGTTACATCCGAAAAATATCAGATGTGTAATTACATCTGGTTAAAGTAATGCATTTTTAAATTACTTTTTTCCCGGATGTAGTTACATCCGAAAAAAATAAGATGCGTAAATACATCTGGTTAAAATATTGTATTATTTGAAAAAATATATTCCGGATGTAGTTACATCCGAAAAAAATCAGATGTGTAATTACATCTGCTTAAAGTAATGCAATTTTTAATTATTCTTTTTCCCGCATATGGAATCGCTGGTTACAGTATACGGTATAGTAAGTTTACCGTATACTTTACCGTATACTTGGTATACTAAAAGTTACTATACACTTTACTATACTAGTTTCTTTTACTTGTAAAATATTTGCGGACCGACTTGATAATTTATTACTTACATTATATTAATGAATTAAGTAATTATATGAACAAAATGAATAAAAATTAAAATTTCTTATATATTTTATCAGTTTACATATACACTAGAAAATAAGTACAGTGGAATCCCGTTAAGTCGGGAATATTATAGTCTGATATCTGACTCTCGGTAGGTATAGAAAGTTCAAGGGGAACTTAAAATTTGTCCGACTTAGTAATAGTCTGTTTTTTTAAAAGTAATAGTCTATTATTTTTTAAAAGTAATAGTCTTAGTAATAGTCTATTTTTTTTTTAGTAATAGTCTATTTTTTTATTTTCAGCTCCAATCTTTTGAATAATAAGAAGGTCTTAGGTAGGGACGGAAAGTTATCAAGCGAAAACACTGTATCATAAATCGACCCTCTGGTTGCAATTTAACCGACTTAAAAAAATAACGCCATCATAAAGATATTTATTAATAAATGGAAAATTAACCATTTTAAAAATCTAAGAGTGCATTTTAAGACTGAACGGGGGGAGCTCAAAACTTTATTAAAAATATTGATAACAAGAGGGCCGAGGGGCATTGGCAACTTGCCAAATTTTTATCATAAAATATAAATCAAGCATAAAATACACAAATACATTTAAATTTTTTGTTTACATCCCCCCCTCCTTTCCTCCACCCTCTTAAGAAAGAAATATGCGTTGCAATCCTTGAAGGGTACCAAGACTCAGGGCCGTCCCGATAGAGGGTGTTGGGGTGCCACACACCCCCCCCTCCTCCCTAAGCTGTTATTTATGCATGTCAGTTTGCAAAATTGTATTTTTATCACTTTGAGTTGGTATTTTTATTTACAGTTGGCACATTTGTATATTTTTGTAGTGGAATTTTTCTTGTTTCGCAGTGGAAGCTATTAAAGTTCCACCACTTGTTGGAAACATCAGGCGTCAATATCTTAAGAGAAGGAGGAAATATTTTATACAAGTGCAAGAGAGTGCTAGATAATGTATAATATTTGGACAGATGACTAGTATTGAAGAATGGTATTTAAGAGGGGAGTATTATTCAGTGATTAAGTTAGAGTTGTGTGAGTGTTGTTTAAGTTAAAGTTGAGTAAGCGTTTGTATTAAACGCGTTAGTTTATAGTATTCCGTATGTATTCCGTATTATTTGTGAAGATGGGAGGGGGGGAGGGAGAGGATATAAACAAAAGTTTGTATATTTTATGCTAGACTTATATTTTATATTTAAAAAATGGCAAGTGGAGGGCTAGGGCCCCTCGGTCCTCTTATTATCAATATTTTTAACAGGGTTTTCATCACCCTAGGTCTAAACATGCACCCTTGGATTTTTTATAATATTTGATTTTTCCTCATAAATATCTATAAATTGAATATTTTTTTCTAAAATTAGATAGAGTACAGCGCACAGTGGCAAGAAGGGTGGCCAAAATTAAAAAAATTAATTAATTTTTTTAGATTTTCAAGTGGTAAATTGAAAAGCTAAAGCAATTACTATAAATATGTTAAAAAATAAAAAAAATTAAAATATTAATTATGAAATGTTTATGTTCAAAGTCAAACTATTTGAACAAAAGTGTGCTTCAAGAGAACTTTTATGGGTGATGTTTCGTCCAATTCATATGGAAATACTTTAATATTTTTCCAGACATATATACATCGATGGAAAGGTCCTTGAGACTAGCTTTTAATCGTTGAAGTATTTTAAGAAAAATTCGAATGCAGTTGTGAAAGTAAGGCCAAAATATAAAAAAATATCACAAAATAATCGAATGTTTCAACTTTGGTGGAGCAGGAAAACTAAATTTCAATTCTTTACAATGTAATCTTATCATTTAATAATGCTATACATGCTCTGAAAAATATTTGTAAAAAATTTAGGCATAATTTTAGTTAGTTTATTTTTAAATATTTACACGCAACACCTTTTTTTTTAAGTCGGATAAAGAGCAACCTAAGGGTCAATTTATGACACCGTTTCCTTGCCTGATAACTTTTAGTCCCTACGTAAGACCTTCTTGTTATTAAAAAGATTGTAGCTAAATAGCCAAAAGGGGTATGTTGAAATGTTTAATAATCGGGGGTATGTTGGGTAAAGTTGATAAAAATTTGAATTCATTTTTGATGAACAAAATATAAAAATGACATTTTGTATCTTTTTTAAATTATGTTCTTTTTG